GAATATTTTATCGGCAACAAACGATAACACTAGCGAAATATTTTAACATGAAGCCTTGTAAACTGCCTGCCCCATATGTCAAAACATCACCTACCATAAATCATAGAATTTAAGACTAGTATTTCTTGTTTAAGCATGCTACTTATTCAGCAGAATCACTTGTGTGAACAAGCATAGATTAAAGTACACTAACTTAAGCAGCTTTGCCATCCAACTGATAGAGCTATAATTTAACCCCATTATCAGTGCTGTAATTTTCAGAGAGCTGAAATACCATGCTTGTTGAAAATATTATATGTTTAAAAACTTAACAGCATTGCCCATCTGAAGCTACTTTCAACTTTCAAAGAAAACAGACAGGCACTTGTGTATTGATGAACATGCTTTTCACATCCTACAAAGGAACTTTCTCTGTCAAATTATAGGTGTTTCATCAGTTGACTTATGAACACCAGAATTAAATAATCTATGCCATAGAAAAAAATAAACTGCATTATAAAACCAATTTCTTTTATATTTTTATCTCCCACATTTATAGTTGGGATTTACTTTTGCCTCATGGCTAGTAGCTTTCAGTTTAGTATTTTATTTTTGGCTGTAAAGGTAAGGGACTATTTCTTTCTATGATAATGATGCCTGAATCTCAAAAAGTTCGGCATGGAAGCACCCAAAAGACTGAATGCTTAGTCACAGCTTATCCAGCCCTCTCGCACAAATGGGCTGAAAATTTCACCAAAAACAGGACATTTCTTGCAAGACTTTCAGTACTTTCTGCTGCTGAGCAGGCCAGAAATGCTGTCAGGGCTGTAGTCCACAGTATTGCAGCTCCTCTTGTTCTAGTCCCAGCCCGAAACCAAGAGTTGCTAAAAGTACTAAGCGTCTGTTTGTTTGTTTTGTTTATAAAGATTTAGAAAATTTTGTGTACATCTCAGTAGTGCTTCAGGGGGAAAACAGGTTCCTATTTTATCTGGACAAATTCATGCATATGTATCATTCCTATGGCACTTAACATGGCAGCAGCGGGTTTCAGTTTACTAAATTTAAACAGACAAATTATGTAGACCACCCACAAAAACTAAAAATTATTGCAAGCACTAGTATCCCTTCTCTAAGGGGGGAGGGGGAGAGAGAGAGAGAGAGATCTGCCCACAAGATCCAAGAAACAGAAAAAATAAACACCATTATTTAAAAGCTATGAAACTATATTTCAAAGTAGGAGCTCTCAATTAAACAGTCACTCCTGTCTAACCCAGAGTTCTGTCAAATTTGATGACAAATGTTTCTTACAGACAAGTGGAAAAAGAAACCAACAGAAGTGTTGCTAGAGGCCTCCTTATATGAGTCAAATAGGTAAAATCCATAAAGTTACCTGCCTCCTTTGGTGACAAGACTACACAGTTTGTGAACTGTAATCTCTTAGAAGGCAGGCAGAGAACTTACAGTGAGAATAATTAAGGGAAAATATTATACGTGTATGTAATCAAGAGAATACCACAGAACCATATTATTGCCCAATGTATAGATTGAAAAATTAAAAGTCCAATGCTGAAAGATTGCTTCTAAAAATAGACCAGATGAATATTTGTTATTTTTCTAATAAACTGTTGTAATACTAGACCAGGATAAAATAGATCATGCTGCCCTCTTGTGCTAGACTTGCAAAAGAGAGCAAGCCTTTATTCATGCTGGAGAACAGATGAAGTGGAACATATGAAGCATTCACTATGAAGTGGAAAATGTCCACAGTTTACTCCTAAGAGCTAACCTGGAATGCATGTTCAGACTCCCATACTAGTATCTGTATGGAGGAGCAGAGGAAAGTTTGAAGAGCAAAGGACAACTTGTATATTCCTTTAAAAGAATGCAAGTAAGTTTTATTAACCAATATAGACAAGCAATACATAATAAAGTCTGAAACCCAACAATGGGATATCACATATAAATCAAACATTATTATGATGACTCCATAATTAGAGGTCTGTTGAGATCCACAGCTAAAACCGAATTTCAGTGCCCTAATTTCCAATCACCACTTCTGCACGTAGAGTAAAATTTTCAGAAATGTTTAAGTCATTTAGGCACTTCCGTCCCATTTGCAATGAGACTTAGGCTCCTAATGCTATGTCTACACTGCAAGTAAAAACCAACCTGGATGCTGGGACCCTCCAGGCTCCAGCCTGAGCCCAAACGTCTACACCACAATTAAACATCCCCTTAGAACCACACGCCATGAACATGAGTCAGCTGGCATGGGCAAGCCGCGGATGTCTATTTGTAGTGTAGATATACCCTAAGTCACTTTGGAATATAGGTGCTTTCTAATAATGTTACCAATAAGTAACACACTTAAACAATCGATACTAATTGCATTTTTACATGTGTCATATTACATAATGGTAGACTCTGCCTACTTAAAAACCTCTCTTTTCATTATTAAAAATATTTTTAAAAAACACTACATATTTTCTATTGTTCCTTTTATTTCCTAAAACATCATGACATCTAGATTTCCAAAATTATTCCAGATTACCTCAATCATTCCTAATTTATACCAAGACACCTTTACACACTTCTGTAACTGTCAGAGCAGCATAAATGGGTTTTCATGTAAAGGAGAATCAGGCCCCATCTCTCAGTTGTAAGTTAATCAGTAAAATATTATTTTTAAAACGTTATTCCCATTAATCATCTTTACTGATTTGAGATACACCACTGGGAGCTGATGGACGTGTCATGATTCATCACCTATTTCCCTTTTCCAATGCCACTTGCCTAGCCCTGCTTATTAGCCCTAACAGGAACTATTAGGTGCTCAACACTTTTGCAAAATCAAACCATGTATTAGTTGTCTAATTGGATTTAGGAGCCTAATTTAGTCCACCATTTTTAAAATCTTGGCTCTTGTATTTAGTATTACTGCTTATATTTTCAGTGATCATATAAAGAATGATCCTACTGTACTACAGAGAAGTAAAGAGATTGCTAAGATTGCTGTGGGGACGTTAACAATGAATTCCTTAACTTCTGCGTTACTTCAATCTCATCCTTACTGGTGCACATAACAGTGTAAATATAATATTACAAGAGCAACACAATACATTCAAAATAAAGTTGTAGTTCTTTTATTTATTTAATAAATAAATAAATAAATAAATAAATAAGGCACTTCTTTTAATAAATGGAGACATCTTGGGCCCAGGCAAACTTTGCTCCAGTTCAAAAGCTACCTGCATAGGAATTGATAGCAAAATGGAATCCCTAAGGTGAAGATCTAAAATAAGATGCAAGGTTTTCCAGATGACTGAAAGATGGTGCGCATATGGTGCTCAGCACTAAATTGCAGAACTGCTGCAGCTTTGAATAAGAACAACCAGAGTTTCATATGCCTTCTTTATAAGAGAAAGAAGATGTGCAAAAATACCTATACAAGAATATCTTTATATGCTACCGCTAGCAAATGATGTAGGAGAACCAATGGCGTACACAAAAATTATTCCTAAATCATAGAATAACTACTGATAATGGAAACATCCATGTAAAAGCCATAGAGAGATCTGGGTAATAATGGTGGATTTGTTCTGTGCATAGCTGTTGTTAAAAAACAAATAATGATCTTTTACATCACACTTTTTATCTATAGGTTTCAAAGTACGTTATAAAGCAGACTGGTAAGTAATGCAGACTGTAGGCAGCTATTTAATTCTATCCCATAGATATGACCTAGAGATTGTTATAATAAATTATGTTCATTGAGCTTACTACAAGATGATTACATCTCCCCTCAGATGGGGTTACTGTACCTTGTTAAACACTTCAAAAGGGGGAAATGCTGCATATCTGGTGATATCCCCCTTGGTTGGTCCTGCCATTCCTCATGACCAGCTCCAACAGGCATCACACAAACAGATATATCCTGCTCCACTGAGCACCAGCTCTCCACTCACCAGCCCCTTAGCTGAGCATACAGTTTCTCTTCGAGCCCTCCAACCTAGACTGCCACATACCCATAATGTTGGCACACAGACATAACATGCATTTAGACATGCATAGAGGTATGTTCAAAAAATGGTACCATGGCTATCTACTGCACATCCACTGCTTTTTACTTCATATGAACATTTATACAAAGAAAAAATAATAATTCTCTCAATGAACAGCAACCTAGACTTGTTCTCACAATCCTGGAAGATGTTTTATAACAGAAAAACCTCTATAGGAACACATCACATCATCCTTCCATTTCTCAAAGACCAGTGATTCTCCTCTTGGTATTTTCTTTCCCCACTCCTCCTCACTCTGCTTCACTTTCGCTTCCTTTCACTTCTCCCCCTCCTCAAATCTTATAATCACATTACGAATTTATCAGGTGTACTTTGCATCCAAACACCTTTACCTTTTCCATTTAAGGATACTGACCCAGATTATATCTTTTAAATTGCATAGTTTTGTTTTCTATCCATTCTGGGTGTGTGAGTGAGTTGTTTTTACAGTCACTGTCCAAACTGTTGCTTCTACACATTTTTGCACCGATAAAGCATAGTTTAAATAGATTTTTTAAAATAATCTCTGTACACATTTTTGCCAGCCACAAATAACACTTAGGGTCAATTTTCCAATGAAAGACACTACAGATTCCCTCACAAAAATGCACATATACTTGTTACACCCAGAAAAACTTAAACTCATGTTCACAAATCAAGTAATTAGTAATGCAACTGGTAGATAAGTGTGCAATACCAACATAACAGTTTCTGTCTGCATATGCAAATGCAGGATTAGGTAGATATCCAGAATAAAATCAGTCAGTTACTAATATGCTTTAAAAAAATGTAACTCTAGCTTTCTAACTGATATGATGTAGTAGTAAATATGAAGATTTACTTTTTAAAAAGCAAACATGTGTGAGTATCAGAAGACTTAATTTGGATTACCACACGTTTCATTTTTCTTATCATACTTAATGATGTATAGCATGTAATTATTTTAAATGTTCATCTTACCTATAGGGTTTCTGTCAAAGAACAACACTGGAGCTTTCAAAAGCGATTGAAACATTTTGTTGTGCAAAGTTTGACCAGCATTCACAAGAACTGTGAATACCAGCAGACTTCTCACTATGCCAAACAGTACTGTAGTCACCGTCAAACCTAAAATTAAACAAATAAATACGGTCACAGTATATACACAGATCTATCTCTAATGATACAGTGCGAGAGCATTTGGTTAAAACTATGTACATTTTGTTCAGAGCTCTGTTCAGACAGTTCACATGAAGCAAATCATAATCTTAAAGCTTAAGACTCAGGATGAATGTTCTCTCCAGTAAGAAGCATTATTATAAACTTGTTAATAGCTTAATTCATCCTAAAATTAACTGTCAATTTAAAGAGTTTATTTTTATACCATTTACAAAGAGGCATGACTTTATACCACCACAGGAAATTTCATTAACTATCTGATAGTCTGTATAATATCCTTTGCACATCCATTCTGTCACGTAATTCTTTATACAGTATTACACATAATTGTGGCTTATGTTGGTCACTATTGAAAAGTCAACATTTTCCAACAGGTACTAACCACATAGTGACCAGTTATTTCCTATTCTAAGGATAGGGGAAATTGGCTATATTTCAGATCTCACTGTATGGCAACTGTGGGAAATGGTGAGTTTTTAAATGTCAACCACTTTATATAGTCTATCAATTGTACCATGCTATTTGCAGTAGCTTCTGCTGGCTTAGAGTTCTACATCAGTAACATATCCTTTACTTTTCTGAATCTCTGTCTTATACAAAGGTTCAGAAGGAAAAATACTGTAGCATTTATTTCCCCCCACATCACGCAGGATCTGAAACAAAACATAGCCTTTTGCCAAATATTCAGAAATGGTAACAATAGGTATAGATCACATTAGACTATTAGATATATCCTTTTGCATTTGGTTTTTAAGATTTTTTGGGGTGGGGTTTAAACTTGATTTCTGTAAAATGAACATTGTACCAACCTATTGCTTTCAATTAAAAACAAAAAACAAACAATTCTATCCTTGAGATATCTTAAAATTTCAATATCAAATGTATCTTTATTTTGTTAGCATACACAAATCTTGCCTTAAATCTGTATAATTACTTTATTATTTGTAAAATGATTTGATTGTACAATCATAAAATGCCAGATTCTACCACCCTTACTCATATTGTGTAGCCCCGTGGAACTGTGTAACGCCAACCCTGGTCGTCGCGCGGGATTGAACCTGGGACAGCTGGAGCTTAGTGCATGAGCCTCTACTGCAGAGGTGGGCAAACTATGGCCCGTGGGCCACATCTGGCCCACGGGATGTTCCTGCCTGGCCCCTGAGCTCCTGGCCCGGGAGGCTCGCCCCCAGCCCCTCCCCCTCTGTTCCCTCTCCCCCGCAGCCTCAGCTCACTCCACCACCGGCGCAATGCTCTGGGCGGCGGGGCTGTGAGCTCCTGGGGCAGTGCAGCTGCAGAGCCCGGCCTGACCCGATGCTCTGTGCTGCGTGGTGGTGTGGCTGGCTCCAGCCGGGCGGCGCGGCTGCCTGTCCTAGTGCTTTGGGCGGCGCAGCTGTAGCACCGCCAGCCACCGGTGCTCCAGGCAGCGTCGTAAGGGGGCAGGGAGCAGGGGGGGTTGGAGAGAGGGCAGAGGAGTTCGGGGTGGTGGTCAGGGGGTGGGGGGGGTGGATAGGGGTCAGGGAGGTCAGAAGGCGGGGACTACAGGGGTTGAATGGGGGCAGGGGTCCCAGGGGGGGCAGTAAGGAATAAGAGGAGGGGTTCGATGGGATGGTGGGGGTCAGTCAGGGGCAGGAGTTCTCGGGGCGGTCAGGGGACAGGGAGCGGGGGGGGTGGATGGATGGGGCAGGGGTCCCAGGGGGGCTGTCAGGGAACAGGGCGGGTTAGATGGGGCAGGCTTCCAGGGGAGGCCGTCAGGGGGCGAGAAGCAGAGGGAGTCGGATAGGGGGCGGGGGCTGGGGCACACCTGGCTGTTTGGGAAGACACAGCCTCCCATAACCAGCCCTCCATACAATTTCCGAAACCTGATGCAGCCCTCAGGCCAAAAAGTTTGGCCGCCCCTGCTCTATCGCATGAGCACGCACTAGAGGCTCATGCACTAAGCTCCAGAGGTCCCAGGTTTGATCCCACCCGCTGACGACCAGGATCTGTCGGTGTTACAAGTGGGGGCTCGTCCAGGATTTCAACTGGGAAGTCTCTGAAGCTCAGGACGTGCTTCCTCAGCTAGGGGAAGTAGGTAACTCACACACCACCTGGGTGTGGTGATGCTCTGTCCCATCTAGTGGCACCGAGACCACTTAGAGAGTAATTAATGAGTCTGCTCTATGCTCTGTGAGTAAGGGAGGTATCATCTGGCCCTTAAACTATAAGGTTATTAGGGCATGGATTTGCCTTCCCTGTGCCCTCTGTGAAAAGACTAGTATACATGGAGGAGTTATGAAAACAATCAATCTGTATCAGAACACATGCAGTGTGTGTTTGTTTCCCTGATGTCCCTCAGGACCACCACATAAATGAGTGCATGAAATTATTGTGGTTCATAAAAGTTTAAACAACTACATTAAACAAACTAAAAATAGTGATAACCAGTTAAGATTTGGGGGAAGCTTCTTATCATATATTTGACTTTTTTTTTTTTTATGTAAAAATCAAGTACTACTGGCCAGATTTTGAAAGGTATTTTAGATGCCTAAAGGTGCAGATAGGCATGAAACTCCCATTGATGGGAGTTAAGCACCAAAGCACTTTTGAAAATGCCACTAGGCTCCTATCTGCATCTTTAGGTATCTAAATATCTTTAAAAATCTGGTCCTGTGTACCTATCAAAGATGCTTTATTTTGCTACGTAACTTCAGAAGGAACATACCCATCCTGACTTTTAAAAAGCCATCACTGTATATAAACAAAAACTGGAACAGAGAGCTGCAGAATGAGGATCAATTTCTAATCCCTCTTGCCCACACATATAATGACTGACGATTTAGCTGAAATAACCTATTAGTATAGACAATAGCCACAAGTTTACAGTGACTGCCTTTTTGAATACTCAATTCCTGGTTTACCTTCCAAAATCCCGTACAGAGCAAATTAAGAGTCTGCATTCAATCTATTGCTTCGACTAGAGTTTTTTCTTTTTTAATTATTCCAATTAATTTAGTCAGGAAACAAGGCTCAGTCTGCTAATCTGCTCAGACATTACTGAATCACTGTTAGAAAACCTATTTTTCCACACTGCTACTTAAGTGTTCCTTTCAAAACCCTCTATTATAATAGAGCAAATGATTAAAATATTTTTACCTGCATAAATTCCTAAATAGAAGCTGAGATCTAGATGTCTAGTCTCATTTATTCCGTTATCTCCATGTGATGTGACATTCAGCTTTTCTTGCTGGTTTGACCTACAGAAATGTATGCAAAAGATAAATAATAATCATCACAACAGGAAGATCACTTAAGCAAGGCATTATCTAATCATTCTGAAACTGGAAAAACATACCTGAAGTTTGCCATATCCCTGTACATTTATCATATTATTCACATGTACCTTCTACTACTTTAAAATTGAACTTCAGTCAACATCTCCAATTCTAAATATGATCTGGGTTCATGCTATCATGGATTATACATGGGTACAGACTATTATGAGTCATACTTTTACTGCAAGAACTTTATTTTCTCCCACAAATAAAGTAAGAGGGGATTAGAAGGAAGGTTGACCAAACTCTGAATTTTCTTGGAACAGTCTTCCCCCCCGTCCCCTATATATATATTACTGTTTTCTATTATTTATACAGCCCTTCTTTGCAAGAAGTCAAATAACCTACCAGTATGAAAGCCACCAATCCTGAAGCACATAAGCAACCTTGAATAAATAAAAGCAAACATTTGCATTAATTTACAAAAAGTATATAGTACTAGAGAACTAAATTTCCTCAGCCATTCTTCTATGTCCCCTGGTAAAATCTGTCATTAAAAAAATATGCTGCCCACCCCAAACCTGCCTCTCCCCTTGCCCCCCCTCCCCACACCTATACTGAGCTGGTGCATATATATTTAGGGCCCAACCTCATTCTTCAGTTAGTTGTACACCTCACTGCATATTTAGTAAAATCAAATACTAGGCATCCATATGAAAGTGCATGAGCTGATTTTTCCAAGACCAGCAGTGATTTGCAGAGCATATTAGGAGAGCTAGAACCCTCAGCCTCCAGAAGACAAAAAGTTACCTGGTTATGAGAACTGCATGATGGTGAAACAAGGGGAAAGCAAGACATTCAACAAAAACCAGCCATAACAACCCTCTCTAACAGATGTTAATTCATATAGCAAAGGGCTGGGTCTTTCTGTTCCTAAACTCTCTATTGTAGACATCCCAAACTGCTTCTTGCTTAGTACATATGCTCACAGTCATAAGAGCCAACTCCTGATGTTATCAGTTCAGAACTTTATTTTTATGTTAAAAGGAAGGAAAAACTTAAAAGAACTCCCCAACCAGAGATGACTATGATCTTACAAGCTCGGTAACCGAGCTTAATTTATCTCAAAATCTACCTCTATTCAATTCAATTAAAATACTGTAGGTCTACCCACAGAGATCAGATCATATTCACCATCTTCCCAAACATAGATGGTCTCAATTCAAGGACCCTGTGCAAATTCTCTTATTTCCTCAAACTTATCTTTGAAGCTAAGACCAATCATTTCCACAAAATTCCTTTGAACTTCTCACCACAACACAGTAACAAGTCCACATCATACCATCCTCAAAATAACTTCACTGGTTCCCCATTCACTTCAGGATACAGTTCAAAATTGTTCTCCTTGGTAAAAAATCCTTCACAAACTTGCTCCAGCTTGCCTCACACATATAGTCTTCCTCTATTCCCTGTTCCCTATTGCTTCTACTTGGTAAACAACAACCTCTGACCTCTTTCTATAATCTTCTGTCTGTTGGCAGGAGAGTCTTTTCCTCTGTAGCTCTTATGTCAGGAACAGCCTCTATCACTCTGTCTTATTAGCCATACAGCATATTTCAATTCTGAACTGAAAACACATTTTCTCCCATACCAATACCTCAAACGCAATCTATGGCTGCCATTATTTTTATTTAATTTAGTAATTACATTATGTATCTCTGAGAAGGGTAGTGGGATACAATTTGTATGAATAGCAATATAACATAAATTATACAACACAAAAGTACTTTAAATTGATCAGTAGGACTTTGAACTGAGGATTATTACCTTAATGTCCCATTGGAGTACAAATTTAAACTACAGAAACCACATTCAGATATTATCAGATTTGATCAGGTATACTGCCAAGTATTAAAATGTATCAGAGGGATAGCCGTGTTAGTCTAGATCTGTAAAAGCAGCGAAGAGTCCTGTGGCACTAACAGACGTATTGGAGCATGAGCTTTCGTGGGTGAATACCCACTTCGTCGGATGCATGCGACATGCATCCAATGAAGTGGGTATTCACCCATGAAAGCTCATGCTCCAATACGTCTGTTAGTCTATAAGGTGCCACAGGACTCTTTGCTGTATTAAAATGATTATACATAAGAGCATCATGTATCAAAAGCTTTTCACTTAAACATCAGAACAGCTGTTCAGTACACTATGTTAATGTAAACACAAAACATAAATCTATTCTTTATTATTTGTGGCATCCATCAGATATCTTACCTGTGCCAAAATATTTAGAAGTAAAAGTATAAAAATTACAAAGTAGTTTGCGCCAGCAGCAAAATATTTCCTGTAAATCTTGAAGTTTATTTTTCCCTCAGATCGGCTCTCTTCTGGCAGTGCAGTCACCAGAGGTTCAGTCTATAAAAAATAAAATGAATAAGAAAACTAATGCTAAAATTCATATTAAAGTCATGGTTCCAGAAAAAGTTACTGATAGATCATAGTTATGAATCAGCAATATAGTAAATAAGGAGATAAAATTATACTTATTAAAATATTTTTTAAATGTTAGCATTGTGACACAAAAGCAACAGAAGATAGGAAATTCAATCTAACAGCGCAGTACTACTCTAAGAATTTGACTCTGAAAAACGGGATTCTGGGAGTTTCATCTTTGTCTCTCAGTGACTCCATGTTAAAAGTACTTATTTTACAAGTAACCAGATATATGTTCTAACTGCCAGGGCTGCAAACTAAACCTCAACTGAGAGCCAAACTGAGTTTTTTCTCTCTCGTGTATCAACATCAGTAATAAAGGTTCCAGAGACCAAGATCACAATGTGGAAAAGCATCCATATTCAGAAAGAGCGCTTAAGCGTGTATTTAAATACTTCCCTGAATAGGAACAGTTTAAAACATGTGTGTTTCTGAATCAAGGCCTTAAAAAACAAAAATAAAAAAACTATAGACAAAAGCTGCGCACCCTAGTCCCTTTAATGGATCAAACTCAACAGGAGCAACTCCCTTGAAACAGTTCAGATCTCAAGAGCCACAAAATTCCAGCCAATTTCTTGTAATAAATTCTCCGAAGAGTAAGTGCCCACAAGGGAGCTTATAGGGGGGAAAACAGAAGGAGAGGATGACAAATGGAGAAAATTAGATTGAGGAACGGGGAAAAAGAAAAGTTAATTATAGAGCACACTGAAAGAGCAAAGAGAAGGAGGAAGAGAGAGACACAGACATGAAAAAAGCAGTAAATGAACAAAAAAGGAAGAAACGAGAAAATCTGCTGAGAGTATAAACAATTTTTTGTAATTGTATTATCAATATACAGAAAGATTGGTGTTAACATAATACAGTGAAATACACAATGTTTCATTTAGCTGTCCAGGGATATGATTGTGTAGGAACAGGGGGAATGACAGACCCCCCATTGTGGATGGGAGAGGAGCAGAGGAACTCAGTATACACACACCTAGGAGAGAACAATAATCTGTTTTGGGTTTGTATGTTACTTCTGGCACTTTGCATGGTTTGGGCTGTGACGCTGGCAACCAGGTGCCAACTCTTGCCAAAGCTTTAGGCCTCAGCTGAGCACTGACAAATTCATTGCTGGAAACCAGTCTGTTTCACCTGCGTGTTAGTATGGTTAAGATGGGTACTGAACTTATAACAATATGTTTAGTGTTTAGACTTTATGAAATGCTTGTAAGTGAGATTAATGCATGCAGCAACTTACAATATCTTTATTAAATGCTATAAGGTAATATTTAAGTTTTTGCTTTGTAACTGTAAAAACTGTTTGCTCTGAAACTCTGAACCTGTCAGGGGGGGGGATCATCTCCTCCTCATCAAGAAGGGCTATCATAACTAAATGAGCCACTGTGGGACATCACAATACAAAGACTTTGTTAATTGCCTTTCATAGCCATGAAGAGGCTACTTGCAAAAGGGCTCATCCCATCAGCTTTTGAATTCTGGGAGAAGGAAATAAAAATAGTCGACAAGAAAATTTTTCATCTCTCTTTTGCTTTTTGGACTTTTACAGAGCTACGAAAGAGAAGCAGATACCCCCAGGGTCAACCCTAAAAGACATTCATAGTTGATAGATTACACTGGTCTACAATTTTTGAGAAGTCGTCTGCTTCAGAGATAAAATGTGCTATTTATTATGTATTTTGATGTGCTGAATTCAAATATGACAATTAAAACAACTGATTGGCTACTGTTTCTAAGATATTTAAGTTTTTACATTTTATATCTATGTATATTGTGTCGATAGTAGAGTTTTAATCATAAATTGTAAACCTAGGTCTTTTCATGTGTTTATGGTTGCTTTACATGATAATATTTCACCTGTCCTGTTTATGTAACACTTTAAAAATCAGCAAAAGGGTTATATAAATAAAATTTATTACAAAACAAAAGGCAAAAAACTATTCTGTACATAGTTTAGTCCTATTCAGTGTCTACTCGGCGCTTCTTGGCTTGTCTCTTGTATTCATTAAATGGAGCATCTCTTGTCACTGTCCAGCAATAGTCTGCAAGCATTGATGGGCTCCATTTGCCCTGATAGCGTTTCTCCATTGTTCCAATGTCCTGGTGAAATCGCTCGCCGTGCTCGTCGCTCACTGCTCCGCAGTTCGGTGGAAAAAAATGTAGATATGAGTGCAAAAAAATGTATTTTTAGTGACATGTTGCAACCAAGGCTTTTGTATGCCTTGAGGAGGTTTTCCACCAACAACCTGTAGTTGTCTGCCTTGTTGTTTCCGAGAAAATTTATTGCCACTAACTGGAAGGCTTTCCATGACGTCTTTTCCTTGCCACGCAGTGCATGGTTAAATGCATCATCTCAAAGAAGTTCACGAATCTGAGGACCAACAAAGACACCTTCCTTTATCTTAGCTTCACTTAACCTTGGAAATTTTCCATGGAGGTACTTGAAAGCTGCTTGTGTTTTGTCAATGGTCTTGACAGAGTTCTTCATCAGACCCAGCTTGATGTGTAAGGGTGGTAACAAAATCTTCCTTGATTCAACAAGTGGTGGATGCTGAACACTTTTCCTCCCAGGCTCCAATGACTGTCGGAGTGGCCAATCTTTCTTGATGTAGTGGGAATCTCTTGCACGACTATCCCATTCGCAGAGAAAACAGCAGTACTTTGTGTATCCAGTCTGCAGACCAAGCAAGAGAGCAACAACCTTCAAATCGCCACAAAGCTGCCACTGATGTTGGTCATAGTTTATGCACCTCAAAAGTTGTTTCATGTTGTCATAGGTTACCTTCATATGGACTGCATGACCAACTGGAATTGATGGCAAAACATTGCCATTATGCAGTAAAACAGCTTTAAGACTCGTCTTCGATGAATCAATGAACAGTCTCCACTCATCTGGATCGTGAACGATGTTGAGGGCTGCCATCACACCATCGATGTTGTTGCAGGCTACAAGATCACCTTCCATGAAGAAGAATGGGACAAGATCCTTTTGATGGTCACGGAACATGGAAACCCTAACATCACCTGCCAGGAGATTCCACTGCTGTAGTCTGGAGCCCAACAGCTCTGCCTTACTCTTGGGTAGTTCCAAATCCCTGACAAGGTCATTCAGTTCACCTTGTGTTATGAGGTGTGGTTCAGAGGAGGAGGATGGGAGAAAATGTGGATCCTGTGACATTGATGGTTCAGGACCAGAAGTTTCATCCTCTTCCTCATCTGACTCAAGTGAGAATGATTCTGGTGCATCAGGAACTGGCAGTCCTTTTCCGTGGGGTACTGGGCGTATAGCTGATGGAATGTTTGGATAATGCACAATCCACTTTTTCTTCTTTGACACACCTTTCCCAACTGGAGGCACCATGCAGAAGTAACAATTGCTGGTATGATCTATTGGCTCTCTCCAAATCATTGGCACAGCAAAAGGCATAGATTTCCTTTTCCTGTTCAACCACTAGCGAAGATTTGTTGCACAAGTGTTGCAGCATATGTGTGGGGCCCACCTCTTGTCCTGATCTCCAATTTTGCAGCCAAAATAAAGGTGATAGGCTTTCTTAACCATAATGGTTATACTGCGCTTGTGTGATGCAAAAGTCACTTCACCACAAACATAGCAGAAGTTATCTGCACTGTTCACACAAGTACGAGGCATCTCTGCTCACTTTGGCTAAACAGAAATGTGTCCCTTTGCAAAATCAAACACTGACAAATAGGAGAGCACGACACTGTATGATTTCTAGAGCTGATATAGGGCAATTTGTTCAGCAAAGTGATGTAAGCTTCGTTATGATTGCATCATCCATGACTTCTAGGAATAACATGATGCAATTCATATCATGTATGATGCAATACCAGCTTCAGATTGCATCATTCATTGTTTTGCCTGAAAAGCAAGTACTGTCCAAACCCAGTCATAGATTTATTCATAGATCCAGTCAAAGATGTATTTTAGTCATTTCTGGTTTAAATTGAGATCCCTTCCCTTTATAACTCACTTATCCTCCGCCATTCCCAAGTCAAGGGTCCAGAGGCGTAGCGAGCACCCTCCGTACCCTCCGACCGGAGGGGGCCCCGCAAGGAAGGGGGCCCCTAAAAGTGGCAAAATAAATACCGCATTCCAGTTTCTGCATTGTAAGGGGCCCCGCCCGGACATATGTTCGGAGGGGGCCACCGTTCGAAGGGGGCCACGTTCTTTGTTGCTACGGCCCTGCAAGGGTCGTATATACTGACCCAATAGCATATCTTGAAAACTAGAGCCAATCAACAATTTTAAGCATCATTTTCGTTCTCAGTGACCCAGAATTAGTAAAGTTTGACTACATTTATTTCAGAAGCATTTTGGCTGTAGAGCAGTGTTACTACAGTTCTGTCACCTTTTGGAAACCTGCTTTTACCTTGTAATAATTCTCTCATTTCTTTTTCCTAGTTAATAAATCCTTAGTTAGTTTACTATAGGATTGGCTACAAGCGTTATCTTTGGTGTGAGATCTAAGGTATAAATTGACCTAGGGTAAGTAACTGGTCTCTTGGGACTGGAAGCAACTTGCATATGTTGTGATCTTTGGTGTACTGCAACCAACTATCAGTAAGTCCAGCTAGCCTGGGTGGCCAGACAGCTTGGAATGCCCAAGGGGATATCTGTGACTCCACGGTAAGTTGTTATAGTGAATTAGGAGTTCATATTTGTTACTGGGTTGGTGAAATCTAATTATAGAATTCACAACCAGTTTGGGGGTCTCTGCCCTGCTTCTTGACAGTCTGCACTGAGGTTGGCACTCAGATAGCATGACATGGGCACATTTGATGAAAATATTGAGCCCACTGGCTTTAGTACCAGCTGGTGGGGAGTGAGTTTAAACAAATATAACTAATCACTGACAAATTACAGTAAAATATCAAGTTTTGTTGGCCTAAAATTATTATTCTGAACAGTCTTAAAATATAGAAAACAAAATGCAAAGAAGAACCCTTGCCCCTCCTTTTTATTTATTTATTTTTATATGTATGTACATATTCTCTTTTTTAGAGAAGACTAAATAATGGTATTTATATGCACAGGGATGGAGAGCACATAGCCCTTATGTATACACATATTTACAGTCCATCTCTCTGGCTCAGGGGGTTAGAGCAATGGTCTGAGAATGCAAGGGTCACAGATTCAGTTCCATGTGTGCCAGGGAAGCTGTCTCGGATTCAGAATCTCCTCACTGGTGACTTGTCTTCCGGCTTCAGTGGTCATCTCTCCTCAATGTTAGCCTACCTTATCATAAGAATATCACAGTTTGAAAAAAATTAACAAGTAATATGTTAATTCATATTTTATGTACTCACAGGTGGCTGTTCTACTGCTCCATCTTTCTGTGACTGCACCAAGGAATCTTGTGACCAGACAGAGGACTGTGAAAAGGTACGGTTCCTTGCTGACTTCATAGTGGAGATTCCAGGAATTGGTGACTGTTCAACCTCTTCATTTTTTTTCAAAAGGGAAGCAAAATCGATTCCAGAACTCAGGAACTCTGAATAGGTCCCTTTCCCCACCATTTTACCCTACAGCAAAATATTTTTTAAAATGCTGTTCACATTGTGTGTGCATATTCTGTACAGGGTGAATTTAACAATCTGTTGCATACATCTTCATTACTGGAGCCCCATGGCTTTTGACACATGTACTGTCTGTAAATAAAAGCTCAAGAGATTTCTTAGAAACCCTCACCTCATAACACTGAAAGTTTAAATCCCTCCAATTATCTGTTCTTTTTCTGTAGCAAGGCATTACAGGCAAGTTCATTACCTCCCCAAACCAGCCCCTTCATGCCAGGTGAACGGGTCAGAGTGCTATAAAGGGACCCAGATCTGGACGGGGGAGGATTCCTTCATTGCAGGACCTGCAGAAGGTAGCCTTACAGCTTAGAGGTAGGCTTCCGTATCATAAACAGGGTCTCTTAGCTTATGTGATATGCCAGGGGTTGTGGAGCCCCCCAGAATTGGGAGGTCTTAAAGCCACCTTAGCCCTCTACTCCCCATGCTCTTAGAGGAGCCACACAGAATTTCACCCCATGTGTTCCAGCCTAAAAAACCCCACCGCAATCCAATCTTTTGCACCTATGCCAGAGATTACTGTATCTTCAAGGTGATCTGACAAGGAAAAAGATGAGTGTTGTGGCCTTTTTTTTTTTTTTTTTTTTTGCAACTTTATGAAGTATAATGAAGGCCTAAAGGGTCCTGCTTCTCCCAATCTTAAAAAATAGGGGGACGATCCTGCATATATATTTTTTTTTAATCTTGAGTAAGCTCTGCTTTTGCTGGAAGACTAGTTGGTCTCAGATACATATGGCCTTTTCTCAACCTTTAATTAAAAGGGAACTGAGGTGCAGAGTCTAATAAATACAGTTTCTCCTGCTCTTCCCGCTGCCCCACCTATTTATTAAGGCACTAAAATAAATCTTAACAATGAACAAAGTTTTAAATACTCAATAAAAATCACTTCCCTACAAGCAGAATATACAATATGATAATATGCCAGTTCAAATTTTTCAGGCAAGGTATTCTAAGAAAACTCTTCTCAGCTTCTGGTGTTAATAACAGATACACTTAACAAATGTCTTTAGGAGACATAATACACATTTATAAACGGTAATGATATTTTATAGAAAATCACTTTTCCTAACTCTTCACATTTTTATCTTCAGAATATGAATGAGTAGCAGCAACAGCTGAGTTTTAAAAGCTAGCCAGTGATATCAGTTACCTCTTTTAAAATCAAAATCTGGTTTACAGCATGGAGGTACTGCAACTGATGAGTCACTAAAATAGAGACCTTTTGGTGCAAGGCCTGATAAATACACCTGCAAACAGAAGGAAAGAAACTGACAGCACATTAATGTTCTAAAACATTTTTGTACATTACAGAAATATTTATAAAACCACATATATTAATTACTTTGTCTTCAAAGAAGAAAAATACCACCACAGGACAAGCAGACACCCAAAATAATGTACTTGTCAAAATTATGTTAACTTGGCATGTCTCTAATACACTGAACACCGCACTATGGGAATCTCTTATTTAAATACTGTATGCTTACAAAGTAGGTGAAATAAACCAAACTGTGAATGAAAATTTCTGATTTTAGAGAAAAGAGATTACTAAGGAAATCTTATAATTTTGCATTAAGCCTATTATTAATACATGTACATGTCTTAAAGTAAACAGGGCTATGAGCAGAACAGACCTATTTAATCAAAACGAAATTCACAGAAGTGAATGAAGTTAGGCAACATATTGTAGCGTAGACAATTATCCAAAAACAAGGGCAACATTCAACTTCTGTGAGCTAAATTTCCAAAAGTTTGTGGAGTATGTAATTAATGCCAACAGGAGGAGTGAACATTATTATTATTGGCCTGGACCATATTGACTCCAATATGTGTATAGCGGAGGATCCTTCAAGCATAGCTCACCCTCTTCCATCCCAACTTCACAGAAAGGAGGCTCACCTGTCTCTGTGGTATCATCCCCGTCTCATGCCCCAGATGGAGGGGTGACCAGGCCATATTTCAGTGTGTGGCATTGCGACCTCACAAGGGCACACTGCTCACTAGCATTCTTAGATGTTGAAACTGAGAAATATTGCCCTGAAAATTTTGTGAATAGTAAGGTATGTGCTTTTAAAAGGTTTCCTAGCCTACGCACAGACAGCAGGATCAAACGGCTGATTTATTTAAAGTAGAATCGCCTTTATTGAAATCAATGTATTAATGGCCCCAGTTCCATCTAGATTACATTAGAAAGTCTCATTTTGTAAAGGGATGGAGGTGCTCCAAGTTACCAAATAAAAATTAATAAAGAAAAAAAAAGTAAGAGGGAGCATGATAAAAAAAAAAAAAAAAAAGGTTGAGAACCCTGGTCTAACCTGTTCTTAAAAACCTCCAACAACAGGAAGTCTAGTTAGATCCTTTGGAATCCTATTCCAGTGGTTAACTATCCTTACAGTTAGCAAGTTTTTCCTAATATCTAATCTCTCTCTCTCTCTTGTTGCAGATTTAGGGCTTGTCTACACAAACAGATTGCAGCAAGATGGGATGTGAATCTACCATGCTCTAGCCTGCTGTGGTTTACCTGTCCACGTGCACCCTGCAGATGCACATTAACAGTTCGTCACAGTGCTTTGATCCAGCCCTCTTTGAAAGGGACTAACTCAAAGCGTATTATCAAACCGTTAATGTGCATCAGAAGAACACACATGGACAGTTAGACTGTGGCAGGCTACTAAGGGGTAGATTCACACCCCACCTTCATGCAATCTCATTGTTCATGTAGACAAGCCCTAAACTGATTACTTTTTGTCCTATCTTTAGTGGACATGAAGAACAATTGATCACTGTCCTCTTTATAACAGCCCTTAGATTTTCTTCCCAGGGAACCTAACCTACCAGTTCTTTGTTAAAGTCTGCTTTTTTTAAATCCTTTGTTCTGCTGCTCTCACTCATTCCTTTCCTTAAAATCATATATCATTTCATGTTCACTTTAATCCAAATTGCTTTCCCCCTTCAGATGCGCAATTAATTCCTCCACATTAGTCAGAAGCAAGTCTAAAACATGGAATTTCCCTCCAAAATTACACTATTCTGAAGTGCAGATTTGGCAATAATCAAGTCTTGCACAATTGACATGTTTAAGGTCCAATATTTCACAAACTCGCCAAGCTAGGAACAGGAGCTTTGTCCCATTGGAAAAGAAGATTCTCAGATTTCCCTGGAAATGATACTTGCTTCTACCCCTGGAAGGACTCAGGATAATAATATCACTACAAATCTTAGACTCTAATTTTATAAATACATGATTTTAGTCATTTTGGAAGTTTTTCAAAGGGACACCAACTTCAAAGACACAACATTTCGGTCTAAATTTTTTTTACCTGCTATTGTTCCAAGTAGCACGTAAGATTACTACTATAACTGAAAGATTAGAGTGGGAAAAAGTATCTCAATTTGTTTATTCCTTTCACTCTTTCCTCTCCATAGTATCAGTTAAGTTTAGTCAATTTCAAAAATGACTTATTTAAATTGGTCAGAGTTATTACATTTATTAGATATAACTTTGTTCTCTCCCTCCAAGTCCTATACACTTGCACTCGTGATAAGTAAGGCTGTGCCAACATTGCCCTGCACTTTGGACTATAGAGTCTGAATAGCAGCATGCAACAAAGAGCTGCATTTGTAACTCTCCTATGTGGACACTGATGGCATGAACTAAAAGGTTCCTCATTCTCACTAATGTAATCCTGTTTGAAGACTATTTTTAGTTTTATTTTTTCACCTCTGCAAAAAAACAACAACCCTGAGATAGACAGATAGATATGTACACATTTTAAATTGTGTTTTTTTCCCCTGAGTGTTCTCTTTTTCCCACCTTATGCACATGCTTAACTGTACTCCTGTCAGTCCTATTGATTTCAATGGAAATACGGTTGTGAAGTTAAGCACATGCACAAATGTTTGCAGGATCAGGGCCTTTGTTATTGATTTATATTTGGTTGGTTCATTCACTCTTATTTTCTTCTCTTTTTCCTGTCAAGTTTTAAGGGTTTGGGGAGTAAGACCCTCAAAGTATTTCTGCAAATTTCAGTGAACTTTATTTAAACTTACGTTTTCAGAAACTAAGTAACAAAGTCTTTTACAAATGCAGATCAAAATTCTCTACAACTTACTAAAGAACAAAATATGTGGTATACCGTGAGGAGATGCTGAATGCACATAAACTTCTATGATGCCATTTCTCCTTTCACACTTATTTTGCTACATATATTCCCATTTCATGAGATGCTTCAGCATGCACTGTACTAGTGGTGTAGTTGAACTACAAGGAAGAGAACTAGCATAATCTGACCACCAAGCTCTCCACAAATCACAACTTTACAGAATATTGTAGAGTTGTACTTGGGTTTGGGTTGGCCAGATATATGCAATTTTTTTATTTAGCATTAATATATTGAAATCTGTACTGGTAAAATCAAAAGGAAGAGCAGGTTAGAGTGGGTGAAATAACATGTTCATTTAAAGTTCTCATTAAAAAGTCCTCCACTTCTCTCATCCCATCCATTGCTCTTTGCTCTGCTGTTCACACAGTTGCTGTCAGGACTCAAAAGTGCTGTCTTTGAAACATTCCACAGCCCGATATTCTACAAATACAAAAGATCTTGCTCAAAGTTCAGTTCTATCTAGCATGGTTGGGAACCAGCAGACTTTAAAGCATATACCAAAATTTGTTACTCATTTCAGCTAGCTGTTGAACGCCAATAAAATGTAGACCTTTCCCAATTCTACAGCTGTTAGGGAGATATCAGAAGAAAACTTCTGCTTTCATAGAGGTATCCCTGAAGACCATGGATGGAAAAAAATGGTTACTAACCTTTTTGTAACTGTAGTTCTTCGAGATGTGTTGCACATGTCCATTCCAACATAGCTGTGTGTGCGCCCCAAACACAGTCACCAGAAATGATTCCCTCAGTGTACCCGTTGGGTCGGCTCTGGTGCAGCGCACTCTTAGTACCAGTATAAAGGGCCTGGCCAACCCTGCGCCCCCTCAGTTCCTTCTTTCCAGCCAACTCTGGTGTAGAGAGGTAGGAGAGCGGGTCTTGGAATGGACATGTGCAACACATCTTGAACAACAACAGTTACAGAAAGGTTAGTAAACATTTTTTTTTCTTTGAGTGATTCCACATGTCCATTCCACTGTAGGTGACTCCCAAGCAGTTGTATAGGAGGTGGGATCAGAGTTCATGGACATGGTGACTGTAAAACAGCTTGACCGAAACTGGCATAATCCTAGCCTGTTGTGTAATGGCATAATGAGTAGAAAACGTATGCACAGACGACCAAGAAGCCATTCTGTAAATGTCCTGAATAGGCACCTGAGCCAGGAATGCTGATGATGAAGATGCTTGCACTCTTGTGGAGCGGGCAGTCAGGATAACTGGTGGCGGAACACCCACCTGATCATAACACGTGAGAATGCATGATGTGATCCATGATGAAAGTCTCTGAGCAGAGACAGGGAGACCTTTCACCCTTTCAGCGATCACTATGAAGAGTTGGATGGATCTACAGAATGGTATGGTACCGACACAGGGGGGAAGAGCGAGTACCTCCCTTCCTGTTGAGGTAGAACACGGCTGCAGTGTTGCCTATAAGCACCTTCCCGAAATATGAGGCAAGACTTAAAATTGTCTCTAAAAACAATATTTTTCTAAATTTCTCCATTTGGAATCAGTAAATCTAAATTAAAATTCAAAGAAAAACAAAATGGTAACATACTTTTCAAACAAGTGTCTGCTAACTTCTGCATCTACTGCACTCAGTGGATCATCCAAGAGGTAGATGTCTGCATCTTGATACACTGCTCTACAACATTTAAAGAAATGTTAGTCAAGTCAGTGCCAAATACATTCTTATAGTTAACTTGCTTCTATTAGTCACTAGTGTCTATGATAGTTACCAACAGATATTACGAGAAAAAACAAATTTTACCTGGCAAGATTTACACGGGCTTTCTGACCGCCACTCAATGTAGCTCCACGATCTCCTATCACAGTTAGGTCACCATCTTCGAACAAATCCATGTCCTGTGAATATAGAGAACATATAGTGGTAAAAATTCTTTATAAAAGGAATATCTCCTACATCTGAATCAAAATTACTTTCCCGAAGTATTTAGTAGTTATTTAATTATTTTACCAAGATACTGAAGCTATTTTCTTTCATCAGTGTATTAAAAAAGAGGGTATCAGATATACAAGATAAGATATTTGAATAATATAACATGACTGACCTCCAAACAAGAAGCAGAAGGAGTGGAAGTGGGACAGAAAAAAAATTGGGCCATAAGTTGCCTAGTTCTATTGCTGGGGGGTGTATGGTTACTTTCAATGCCATATAGATAGCTTGCAGCGGATCTATGGCCCCATACACCTACTTGCTGGGCTCAGACTACCCCTTAAGTACACTAATCAGTATAAAATTTAATAAGCAATTAGTCTATATTATAGACTACTGATATTAATATTTTGAAATAAAAAAATTTTGAACCCCAAAATCATTAAAACTGAAAGGTATCTACTACTCATATGAAGTAATTACTTTCCATCAACACTTTCCCTAAGAAGTACACTAGTTTAATTATTCTGATGACATATACTAAGAGTACAGTACACCATATAGCAGAGGTGGGCAAACTACGGCCCACGGGCCACATCCGGCCCGCAGGACCCTTCTGCCCGGCCCCTGAGCTCCTGGCCCGGGAGGCCAGCCAGCCCTCGACCCCATCCCTGCTGTTCCCCCTCCCCCGCAGCCTCAGCTCACTGCGCCGCAGGCGCAATGCTCTGGGCGGCGAGGCTGTGAGCTCTTGCCGAGCAGCACAGCTGCAGAGCCCGGGCCTGACCCAGTGCTCTGTTCTGCGCGGTGGCGTGGCTGGCTCCAGCTGGGCGGCGCGTCAACCTGACCCGGTGCTCTGGGCGAAGCAACTATAACACCACCAGCCACCGTTGCTCCAGGCAGCGTGGTAAGGGGGCAGGGAGCAGGGGGGGTTGGATAGAGGGCAGGGGAGTCTGGGGTGGTGGTCAGGGGGTGGGGGTGTGGATAGGGGTCAGGGCGGTCAGAGAGCAGAAAACAGGGGGGTTGAATGGGGGCAGGGGTCCTGGGGGGGCAGTCAGGAATGAGAGGAGGGGTTGGATGGGGCGGCGGGGGGCAGTCAGGAGCAGGGGTTCTGGGGTCAGTCAGGAAGAAGGGGTGGTTGGATGGGGCAGGGGTCCGGGGGGGCAGTCAGTAATGAGAGGAGCGGTTGAATGGGGTGACAGGGGGTAGTCAGGGGCGGGGGTTCCAGGGGCTGTCAGGGGACAGGGAACAGGGGGGGTTGGATGGGGCAGGAGTCCCGGGGGGGGGCCCATCAGGGGGCGAGAAGCAGGAGGGGTCGGATAGGGGCCTGGGCCGGGCCACACCTGGCTGTTTAGGGAGAGACAGTCTCTGCTAACCGGCCCTCCATACAATTCTGGAAACCCGATGCGGCCCTCAGGCCAAAAAGTTTGCCCACCCCTGCTATATAGCATTGCTGTATAATTTTATAGATATATTCTACTTCATTTCCTTCCTGAATAAAGCAGAGGTCTTATGCTGGTTCATGTAACATGTTCAATAAGTTCACACATTTTAATGCTCCATAAGTCTGAGGAAAAACTCTAAAAAAGCAGATCTGCCAAAAGAAGAAAAGTCAGTTTTAAGCTTCAGGCACTTCAAAATGTTAATTTTTCAGAAATATGGTTTGTGCTCTGTATAAACTCACAAAACTTGAATTTTAGACAACAGTGAACTATAACAGCAGGAGAGATTAAGGAAGTTCTATCTACAGTGTGTAAAAACAACCTTGCAAAAAAGATTTTCCATCACAGTAACAGTCTACTTTTCACCTGTATTACTGCTGATAGGAATATCATAACATGCTGCAGGATATGCAGCATAATAATACCCTTCAGCTTCCAAGCAAAATGTCTATTTCTTGACAAATAGGCTAAACCCTCTTCTGTATCACACATCACAAATTCTTTCTATACATACATACATACATACATACATAGACGGAGACACACACACACACACACACCTTTCAAAAACATTTTCCCACAAGGCTACAAGGGCTCACCAGGTTCTCCAGTCTATAGTGTTAAGGAGCTATGACTATCACTTTGCAATATGCATATTGTACATCTTAAAGGGAGTATAGCATTGTGTAACGGTTATTTGCAAAACAAAAGTGGCAAGTGGCATCAGTTATGAATGTTTGTGTTTCTACCTTGTTAACTCATTTAAGCAGTTAACTCCTCTAAGCAATTGTATCTACTATAAAAACATGGCTAAAACTCATTATGAAACAAAATATTTCGAACTACTGTAGCTTTTTCCTGTCAAATTTGTCCTAGCTTCTCAGAAAATCAATCTCCTTCTAGTGAATTTATTATGAATTACAAGAATTTGCTCTTATACCTAGATCTCACAAAACTACTATGTACGGTGTTAAATTATAGGGTTCATCTATATCACAAGTAAATTGGTAACTAATTCTATAGATTACACACCACAACAGATACTAGCTATCATAGCAATAACATTAAAGTGAAAAACAGAGTTGGCTGCTGCTAAAACAGAATCAACATTCAAAAGAAAATCACTTACTTTTTTAAGAGCACAAACTTTTAGAACTTTTTCATACTTTTCTTTCTCATATTCTCTACCAAATAGTATATTACTTCTCACGGTGCCAGGAAATACCCATGGCTGTTGAGAAACATAGGCTATTCTTCCTCTAACATCCATCAAACCTTTATCTTTAGGCAGTTCGCCGAGGACAGCACTTAAGAGAGATGACTGCAAGAGAGTTTATTGTTTGGTTGGTAGTTTAAAAAAAAGTTGTTAAACTCAGTTTTTGAACACTATAAAGAAAATGCAGAAAAGAAATGATAGATGCCCCCATTACAGATTCAGAAACTAATTTTCCATTTTAATATGTAAAAAAAACTTAGGTGTGTTAGAAAATTTTATCCAAAGTGACTTCAGAACTTCAGTCCCATTGAGAGTCAATGAGACGTAAGCTCCAAAGTCACCTAATTCTCAATGGGACTGAAATTTGAAGTCACCTAGGTACTTTTGAAAATGTCATCTTTTAACTTAGTTGGTTATATCATTTTTACTTAGTTGGTTATATCATTTTTAAAATACATTGCCATTGTTATTGTATTAAAAGCTTCATTTTGTAAATTGTAAATAATGGGACAAAACGTAAAAGAATTCTAAAACCAACACACTATGAAGCATGGGGGAGGGGGGGGTCTTAATTTTGAACCTCGAACCATAATCTTCACAGTAAGTGGCATTTCCCTAACTGCTCTGTATTCCAGCATGCACATCTAAATGTATTCTACAACACAACATAAGAAATTCATAAAACTTGAATGCATATGTCCAATAGAACTGTAGGAAAACAATGCAAAACAGAGCAACACATGATGACTTACTTTCCCAGCTCCTACAGGGCCAATCACAGCCAATAATTCACCTGGTCTGACAGTAAAAGAAAGTTGCTGAAGGGTTGGGATTTCCAAACGCTATGAATTTATGAAGGGAAAAACAAGTTAATTTTTCTCAATACTGAAAAATATATCAAAAATGTCTTTTAAAAAGTGGAATAGTGTACATAAACTAGCAGATAAATCTACACACTTAATAAACATGAAACTGTTAAAATAGATATTTATTTATTTCTAGTTCAGTTTATTTCTTCAGTTGATACAGAGCATTTGTCCACATGCTTTGCATCTCTCCTTCCAACCTTTAATTGTAACATTTCAATTTCTAGCAAAAATGGAAATTCATTTCTTTTCTAAATTGTAAACTCCTTATGGCCATGATCCATCGTTTTAACGATAATAATTAATCCCCACAAGGTGGCAGCAACAGGACATTTTTATAGGTTGATTTCTCAATCCGGTATAAACAGTCTAGGATCTCGGCTGGTGTTTACTTCAACAGAGCGATGCCAGTTTACACCAGCTGGGGACCTGGAACCTATATGTTTATTTATTTAAGAAGTGATTCAGTAGAAATACATTATAACAGCTATAATGACCCATTTGTCAGTGTTTACCAGTTAGGTAGTGACCATATAAAACTCTAAGAGCACACGGCCACCCACCCCCCCACCCACACAATATTCTTGGTATAATTTAGGCCTAAACCTTTAAAACATCTCTGATGGCAGGAGACATTCCGTGTCTCACAGAAAAGTTTTAACTTGGGTAAAAGCTAAAATATTTCCATCACTGTATACATATATGGAAAGTGGAATGAGAGCCTATGGTACTGGTGAAATTCCAGAGAAATCTGCATACTTTTAAATTACCTACATATTATATTTAGGGTTTATATGCAATCATTTCCTATATATAATATATTGTGACAGACCCAGACCAGTTGGATGCAGGAGTCTGGTAGAAGGCAAATATACTGGCCACTGGATGAATAGTTTTCTGTTCCATGAGTGACCAGAGCAGGGGTTGCTCTAGAGCAATCAGAAACCTGCTAGAACCAATGAAGACAGGCAAGCTAATTAAGACACCTGGCCCCAATTAAGAACTTACTAGAATCAATTATGGCAGGCATGCTAATCAGGACACCTGGTTTAAAGAGGACCTCCCATCAGTTAATAGGGGGCACGCAAGGAGTGAGAAGGTGTGCTGCTGGAGGACTGACTACAAGCATTATCAGGCTTCAGGAGGAAGGTCCTGCGGTGAAAATAAAGAAGGTGCTGGGGGGAGGCCATGGAGAAGTAGCCCAGGAAGTTTCAGCTGTCACACAGCTGATACAGGAAACACTGTAGACAGCTGCTATCCACAGGGCCCTGGGCTGGAACCCGGTGTAGAGGGCGGGCCCGGGTTCCCCCCAACCCCCTGATCCCTATCTGACACAGGAGGCGTTGACCTGGGACACTCCAGATGGGAAGGTCTAATTTGGAAAGGGATCTGGCCTGTTCCTGACCCACTAGGTAGGACAACAGAGACTGTGGAGATTGTTCTCCATTTCCCCCATGCTGGCCAGTGATGAGGTTAGCTGAGTGAACGGAAGGTTTGAGCCTCTAGCAAAAGCCGCTAAACTGCCGTGAACCTCTGAGGTGAGCAAATCTGCCACCAAGGCAGAGGAGGAACTTTGTCACAATAATAAAGGGAAAAAGCTTGGATAGGAGTATCTCCTGGGCAAGATAATTCTGAATTGAATTGACAATCTAAGTAATTAAATACCTTATTTAAATTTCTCAATTTTAACTTTAGAGTTGTTCGGTTGAACTGCCATAGACAGTTTCATAATTGAACTGGTATATAAATTTAATGGGCATACTAATAAGGATCCATAGCTCCATGCTGGTACCAAAGTAACCTGCTCCAAATAATACAGAACTAGGATAAAGTATGCATGTGGAACAAGAGTGTTATAAAACCTTGAATTAATTGGTTTTGCTTATCTTTGGATAAATTATAACATTCCATGTTGAGTTGTTCTTTTAAAAGATTGTAAATACTACAAACAAACCATCTTTATTTTGCTTTCTCTGATTTCTTATTTGCTTTATGTCGACTAACAAAATTTATAAAGCCACAATAATTCCCCAGCTGTACTTCAGCTAAGAAACAAAGATCCAAAGAACCATGAGAAACTCAGTAAGGTAACTGGTTAAGTAAAATTATTTAACCAACATGTTTTAAATTCATCAATACATAGATTCCAAGTCCAGAAGGGACCATTGTGATAATCTAATCTTACCTCCTGTATAACACAGGCCATACAATTTCCCCAAATTAATTCCTAGAATATATCTTTTAGAAAAACATTCCATCTTGTTTTTAAAACTCTCAGTGATGGAGAATCCAGCACGACCCTGGGTAAGTTGGTTCCACTGGTTAGTTACCCACACTGCCAAACATTTACCTTATTTCAAGCCTGAATTTGTTTACCTTAAACTTCCAGTGATCAGATTGTTTTATACCTTTCTCTGCTAGATCAAAGAGCCCATTATCAAATATCTGTTCCTCATGTAAACAGATGCAAACTGCTCAATCACTATAAAACAGGTTTTCTAATCCCTTCATCATTCTCGTGGCTCTGAACCTTCTCCAATTTATCATATCTTTCTTGAATTGTGGACACCAGAACTGAACACCATATTCCAGAAGCAGTCACACCAGTGCCAAATACAGAGGTAAAATAAACACTCCACTCCAAAGCCAGTTTCCCTTGTTTATGATCCAAGCATTGCATTAGCTCTTTTGGCCACAGCATGGCACTGGAAGCTCATGTGCAGCTGACAGTCTCCTATGACTTCCAAATCTTCTGCAGAGTCACTCCTTCCAGGAGAGAATCCCCCAGCTTATAAGTATGGCCTACATTCTTTGTTCCTAGACGTATACCTTTACATTTAGCCATACTAATACACACATTGTTTGCTTGACCACAGCTTAGCAAGAGATCCAGACCTCTCTGTACCAGTGACCTGTCCTCTTGATTATTTACCAGTAACTCCCCCAATTTTTGTGTCATCTGCAAACTTTATCAGTGATTTTATGTTTTCTTCCAGATCATTAATAAAAATATTAAATAGCATAGGCCAAGAACTGATCCCTGTGGGATGCCACCTGAAACACATCCATTCAGTGATGAGTCCCTTTTTACAAATATATTTTGAGACCTGTCAGATAGCCAGCCTATTAATCCATTTAATGTGTGCCATGTTAATTCTATATTGTTCTAGGCTTTTTAATCAAAATGTCATGGGGTACCAAGTCAAATGCCTTTCAGCAGCCAAAGCATATTACATTAATACTACTACCTTTATCAAACTTTATATATTGATGAAATTACAAGTGTTTTATAACTTATCTTTCTCCATGATCTTTTCAGCAAAACTCCCCTAATAAGTTTTTAGTAATGTTACAAAATAGTTTAAGACAACTTTGTTCCAGATGAGTACTCTCACCTCCTTATTCTAATTAAAAATTAAAATAAAAACTGTAACTTGAGATTAATTTTAGCCAGCATATTAAAACTAATTCCAGTCATCATATTGGTTGGGCTTGAATGCTGTGCAACTCGCCTGAAAATGTGACAAAATTGTTTTACAAGAATATTTTGTAATCTTTTCCTGTGAATTATCAATGGTGGCACAAGTGTTGGTGAAAAAACCATCATCTGGGGAATACATTTCCCTTTCTATTAGAATATGGCTACCACACACAAAAAAAACTCACATGCATTATGAATCTCACATCAGGTAATAAACAGTATAATTTGTGTACTTAATACCCTAACTGTGATACAGGGCATGAGCAGGAGGCAGAGGAAATTGGTGCCATTTGGATAGTACACACTTAAGATCACGGTCCTGGTTGTTCAGAATAGTACCAGCTTGTAAAACACGGATCAAGCTTGACAAATAATGTGTTGAGAGCTATAAGCCCTCTTTGATGCTTGGCAGAGCCAAACTGTATTTTAACTTCTAAAAAATGCCAGGACACAAAATAAATAAATAAATAACAGGGCCAAATCCCCCCTATTACTAATCCCCACCATCAGGAGTGTACAGTGCTTAAGAATGTATAACAATTGATATTTTGATCTTCCCTAGATTTCACACACACATGCACACAATACTTACAATATTTGTAACATGTTATTAGTGTCATTAAATAATCAACATGATTTCAACAGATGGTGTGTTGAAATACTCTACTTACTGAAAAAATTATTTAAAAAAGTGTTTCCACTAACAAAAACAATATGTATTACTTATTAAGTGCCAACAGTGTGATTGGCACTGTACAGGACACAAATTAAAAAGACACACATGAAAGCTATTTCCTATCACTAGGTGGTTAATTTAACTGGCAAAAAAAAAAAAAAAGAATAAAATCTTTCCTTGTCTGTACATTGTCCAAAACTGGTGATTCATCATTGTACAATATGGGAAAAGTTACAGCAAAAAATGCAGAAGTTAATTTTAGTTCTAATAAAAAAGGAAGTTCAAGCCAGACATTCTTTTTAATAAACACTGTTTATTAGAAAAAATGTAAAATCATTATTATTAATAGTTGAAAGGCTATAAAGATAGCCAATCACACACACAAAAAGAGCTAAATGTGTATACATTTATGGAAGAGTCTTGCTCAGCAGTCATCAGACCAGGGTGAAAGAGCCCACAACTATGTAAAACCCTGGAGGTCACTTTTTTTTCCTCCCACAGAAATCATGTGACAAATCAGAAGTCAGTGACAAAACTTACAGACATACAACTCACAGTAAACTAAATAGAGAAGGGGTTGTCTTAATATATAATTTGGCCCTAGTGTGTGACACAGATAGCACTGACCAGAACAATGCAGAGTTCAGGCAAATGTTAATATATAAGATTCACCCCATAGAGTTCTGGCAATGCACCTCAGTCTTGACCCCCCGTCAGAATCCTGGACCTCTCTCAAGACAAACTAGGAAAAGACATATGGGAATAGTATTTTGTTACACTGCATCCAATCCAAAGCCCACAGAATTAAGTGGCAGGCTCTGTATGTGAGGGGGTGGTAATTCTTTTGATGTCAGCGGGCTTTGGATCAGGCCCATTATAAGAAATGTGAAGACTTTTCATCAAAAAACAACAAAGAAAAGCTGAAAATGTCTGTGACAGCGCAGAAGGAGATGGCAGAGACAGCATCATGCTACATTGTAATCTGTCATCAAATCACAAATGGCCAGTATGGACAAAAAGATATAAAACAAAATGCTAAATCACACTGTGAAGCCATGTTCAAGCAAAACAGATTTCTGACACAGATTTGAAAGTTCCATCTATTTCTTTAAAGCCCATTAGTAACAAAAGCTTGTATACCTGCTCACATCAAAAATATCGTTAAACTGATTTTACTGAATAAAGACATCAACTAGGGACTAATGTTTACCTGCACAACTGAAATACTTTGTTTTTATATATGGTAATTTAACTTCTTTGGTGGGGGGGCGGCGGGAGTGAAGTCAGACTGGGAGAGGCACGCGGCATATCTTAGAGATAATATTAAATTTATATACAATATAATTTTTAGAACTTCAAGATTCCTTATAACTACAGATAGAAGTCACTGTGCACTGCCGGATGCAATCCGTAAGAGAAACTATGAAAGTTTCAAAATGCACAATAGATTGTTGTTTGACACAGCATTACTAGTTTTAAAGTGAAAAAGGTACCTTAGCATCTTGTTTTTAAAAACCCAAATAGTCCATGTAATAGATTTATCACCTATGTAATACCTTTTTTAAACACTACTTTTGAGTTTATGAAGCTTTTTAGTCCTTTTTACATAAAAAGTAATCTATAAATGAAAACTAGGGCTGCCATTTTAATTAAAAGAACATAATGCTTCAAGTTCGCCATGGTGAGCTCCTACTCTCAACCCCAATATGCATGGCAGTGCGTCATGCTGTTTCTAGACCAATGACTGATCTGCAGTCAGTTGTTCTGAATCAGATGAAAGACTAAAACCTGATAATGTACAATAAAAAGGTGACCGGAAAGGAGCATTATACTCCATTTTACGTTTTGTGTCCTTGACTAGCAACAAATCAGCAGAGTTAGGGTTCAGAGTATCACAGTGACAGCAGAATGCTATTCAGCCAAGCTGAGAGAAATTGTCACATAGAACAGTAGCTTCTTATGTAACTGGTTTTAACATTTAGAGAGAGCTGTATTTTATAATTAATCTAATTTGATAGTGTTTCCATAGCTATTCTTTAGTTTTGACTTCACCCGCTAAATGGTTTCACACATATGTAAGAAGTTATATATGAAGTCTGTGTATTGAATGTATTGTACAATATACCACTACCTTATTTAGATTCAAAATACTTGCAGCACCAAATTCAATAGGGTTTAAAAAAAAAACCTATATCCATGGGGTTTTGCAGAGGGAGCTTTACCTTATCCCAATAACAAGTCAAGTCTTGAACATGAAGTAGGACATTTTCGTTGCTATTCTCCAATTGCAGATTGAACTGTGAAACCTCATCAAGTATTAGAAAGTTCTGTAGTAAAAGAAAAAACAGGGATTGCTTAACAGGACACAGAAAAGTGAATTAAAAATAAAAGTGTTTCTGGGTATACAGTACAAAAATGCAAATAATCTGTGACAAAACTACTCTGACCTAGGAATTATGTTTCCAAAGCAACGTACAAAGACTTCAAACGGTATCCCATAATTAACCAACCATATCTGTGCATTTACCTATTGTTCCAACAGCAATACTATCCAAAAGTGTACATTTCATGGAATAAAAATACTTCCAATGAGGTTTCAGGAAATTTTTTGTTAAGAACTCGTATGAGAAAGTTGGTACCATAAGCTGAACTTCAAAGTCAGCTGAATTTTTGCTTTGAAATTTTGACAATATAACAATATGCACTCTTTCTGCCCCATCTAGCACCTTTCCCCACCTGTCAGTAGTTTTGACTATCTTTACTCATCACAGAATTTGACAGGTTTCCACACCCCTTTCTGGGATATTGCACTAATGAGCACCCATTTGACACATCATCCCCCCCTTTTGTCACAAGCCCAGGCTTTCTAATTCAGTGGCTCTCAACCTTTTTGGGCTCAAGACCCATTTGTAAATGTTTATGGCCTGTCGCAATCCAGTAAATAGTCTGGGAGTGGAGGCCCTGGGGTGCTTTTGGGCATGTCCTGTCCCCAAGGGGGGGTGGTTGGGGTCTGCCCAGCACTCACCCCACAATGGCGGCTTCTGCGGCTCCTGTGCTGTGGAGCTGTCTGGCTTGGCTCTCTCCGGGGTTGCTGTGCCACTCAGGTTTGCCCCCCTCCCACACTGACTGAACCACATGTGTGTGAGTGAAGTTGTGGAATTGCAATACGACTCACTCAAATTTGGCCTACCCGCACTCCTGTCATCACGACAGCTGGGCCAAACCTGAGTGGTGGACCCAGAGGTTGCAGTGCCTGGACCAGGGAGGCAAGCCCAGCCAGCCCCATGGGACAGGAGCCACTGGAGCTCTTTTGAAACATTCTGGAGACCCAATTTTGGGTCCCGACCTAGGGAGTGAGAAACCTTGTTCTAACTGAATGTATGCTTAGAGTGGTCTATCTATAAAATAATACAGAATTGGGCTTGAATGTATACTTAACTGTTTTGGGAAGTAGGGCAGGGAAGGGTGCTTATGAGTGGTGTTCTGTGTTTGCATGTTGTATGTTTTGCTAAAAAAAATTTTTTTAATATTTATCCATCCTTCAAAAATTTCACTAAAATGAAGAGCCCTCCAATACGGCTAAAGACAATACGTGCTAATTTCCAACAAATATTAAAAGGTTGTGAAGAAATATCTTCATTTGTGTAAATGGAATAAAAGAAATTGGAGTGCAGGTTAGGCATGTATTCCCATTATGGTCTATCAGCCTTTTTTAAAAGACAAATGCTAAAGAAATTGTGTGAAAGAGAGGAAATTTTATTCGTGTTCCAGAATTAAAAAACAAATAAGGTTAATTGCTAAATTTACACAGGTTTTGTAAAGAGTTTGATAAAATTCTTTTTGCATATTCATTTTCCTTTTTTTGTTTGGTTGTTTTTTTGTTTTATCCCCTTTAGTTTATATATTAATATGATACAGTGAATAATCCCATAAAAAGCTGTGGGGTTAGAAAAACCTTCAGACTAGATCAGGAAAATGCAATGCAACTTGATATTCTATGATGTGTGTAGGCTTGGCTTGACATGAGTGAGGCCTCATTTCTTGGGAGACAGGATTAGGGAGGAAAACGGATCAGCAGGCTGGAAACAGAATGTCTATACTAGCTAAAATAAGGGGAAACACCCAGGGAATCATTTACCATGGGCAAGATAAGCCTGGAACGTAGGATGATGTAAATAGTAAATTGTGCATGGACAGAATGTGCTGTTCAGGGATTGGCTCCTACAAAGTGACCAAGCCAATCCCAGAACATGTGATGCAATGTGTGTGTGTGTGTGTGTGTGTGTATAAAAAAAGGAAGAGGTTTACTGTGTAACGCCTTATATGCATCTCCTATGCTTGTGTCTGTTCAACTCCGTGTAGCTTTTCTGTATGCCAGACACAGGAACCCGAGTGACAAACTGGAGTCAGACTGGATTCTTGGGGAACTGAGTGGAAGATGTCTCAGGGGAATCCCAACAATGAGATTCTGCAAAAAGCCCACTCGTTAAAGAATACCTTCTGATAGGCTAGGCCAATGAGGTAGGATTTGTTGCAAGCGCTCAGAACAGGGGTTTCTGCCACATGCCTCATGATATGTCTGGGGGAGAGGGGCAAGTTTTTCACTTCTCTCTGCCTTTTTTCCTCTGTACTTTTTTAAAACTTTCTTGGTTACCTCTGAAAAGAGGCTGTAGAACAATTGTACCCTGCACAATGTAACTAACTCTACAGTTATATTTTGTCTCTTTGTCACTAATACTTTGCAACCTTTGTGCAATTTTATTTTTTTAGAAATGTACTAACTGCATATAAAGATATTTCTCTCTAAAAATGCATGTTAGCATGTAACTATGTATTAACACTGTATTCTGTCAATCCTAAAATTTTTGTAAAATATTTAATTACTTTATTTAGAAATGTATTGTGTTAAAATTATTTCTCTCTAAAAATTGTGTGTGCATATATGTATTAACACTTCTCCTTTCTGGGTCATTAAGTCTTTGCATAATCGTTTAATGACTACTTAGAAATATAGTAAGTGCATATAAAAATATGTTCCTCTAAAAAGGCATGATTTTACACACCTACTTTATTCCTCTGTTAGTAAGCCTTTCTACAACTACTTAGTAGATTTTATTTAGAAAGTACTCAATCCATAAAATACTTTTAGGTAAAAATGTGTTAACGCTTCTTTATTCATCTGTCATTAAGACTTTGTACACCAGTTTATTACGAGACTTACTTTAGAATTGTATTACCTGCATGAAAGCATATTTTCTGCTAAAAATGCATGATTTTATATAATAATCCTTTATTCCTCTAACATTAAGGCTTTGATGACTATTTAGAAATGTACTAAATGCATAAAAATATTTTCCTTTAAAAATAAGAAATGTGTGTGTGAGTGTATATTGTGACAAAGTTCCTCCTCTGCCTTGGTGGGTTCTGTGCTTTCTGACGGATTTACTCGCCTCAGAGGTTTTCGGCAGTCCTCAGTTTGACTCCTTTTGTTAGTGGCACAAACCTGCCGTTCACTCGGCTAACCTCATCACTGGCCAGCATGGGGAAAAGAGGAGAACAATCCCCCGCAGTCTCTGCTGGCCCACTTAATGGGTTGGGGGACAGGCCAGAGAACTTCCCCTCTGGTGGGACCCACAGTCCAGATCAACTCCTCTTACATCAAATAGGGAGTTGGGGATATGGGGGGAACCCAGGCTCACCCTCTACTTCGGGTTTCAGCCCAAGGCCCTGTGGATTGCAGCTGTCTTTAGTGTCTCCTGTAACAGCTGCATGACAGCTACAACTCCCTGGGCTACTTCCCCATGGCCTCCTCCCAACACCTTCTTTGTCCTCACCACCAGACCTTCCTCCTGATGTCTGATAATGCTTGTACTTCTCAATCCTCCAGCAATACGCCTACTCACTCTCAACTTCTTGCACGCCACTTGCTCCCAGCTCCTCGCACATCCTTCACTGACTGCACTGAAGTCCTTTTTAACCAGGTACCCTGATTAGCCTGACTGTCCTAATGGATTCTAGCAGCTTCTTAATTGGCTCCAGGTGCCCTAATTAGCCTGCCTGCCTTAATTGGTTCCAGCAAGTTCCTGATTGTTCTGGAACCGCCTCTGTTACCTTACCCAGGGAAAAGGAACCTGCTTAATCTGAGGCTAATATATCTGCCTTCCATATCACTCTCCTGTAGCCATCTGGCCTGACCCTGTCACAGTGTGTGTGTGTGTGTGTGTGTGTACACACACACACACACACACACACACACACACACACACACACACACACACACACACA